CAGGTTGTATGCTTCCAAAACACAAGGATAGGTCACCAAAGGACAGAATTCTGTTTCCAAAAAATGATAAAATTAAAGTAAAAAAGGAGTCACTCATTCAAAACAAACTTCAAGTCCAGCAGGGCAACAACCATGTGATATGATTCTTAGAAAACCCACAACTTTTTAAAGAGTGTTTAATCAAGGAAAGCACCAGTGGCTTGGACAAATAGGACTGATATATTTCAAAATTTAAAAAAAGACCCCCCCGCTGCCAACTCTTCTTAGGAAGGAAATGGGATGTTTTGGAAAAGGGGGGCCAAAGGGAAGAGCCAATTGTCCAGAAGGTAGAACTCAGAGCCCAAAGAGAGGGGCTGAGAGCCAATACTAACATGGAGCAGGAGACCTGTCCATTGGAGCAGACCCAGGGCTTCATAAGGAACGTGTTCTGCCCTCAGAGAAGGGAGTGTGACAGCACGGGCCCCAGTGGATTTGAGAACAGAGATGGACCTGTGACTGCCATGTGCTTCCTGCTCCCACTGTTCTCATAGGAGCATCTGCATTTTATCCCTTCTCCCATTCTACTTTGAGAGTGGGCACATAATTTGCACTTTATTTAGCAGGTGTCTGGATCACAGAAAGGATCAACACAGACGCCTCATCCCAGTCAACCATGCAGACCATAAGACCCTGAATTTCTAGCCACCTGGCCCAATCAGGATGTGTTTTGAGGGTCCTGACCCTTAGAGAAGATTAGGTTTAATATCAGGAAATGAATACAGTGGAATCATAAGATAGAAGGTCTACAAAATTTACAATTCCTCTATGTACCCTGGGAGCACATTTCATGTGAATTGTCACCTGCAAGGTGACATGTGGCTCCTCCAGTGGAAAGGCAGGATCTCTGTCTTCCTTCCCTTGGACCTGGCCTGACCTTTGGATTTGTTTAATAGAATCGTGGCAGGAGTGTCATGGTTGGTGTGCTGAATCTGGGCCTCAGGGCTGTGGCTGCCTCTGGGCTAGCTCCTTTGCTGCCCAGTGAACGTGAACAAGTCTGAGCCAACTTTCTAGAGGAGCCACATGGAGGAGAACATAGATGTCCCACCTCAGAGCCTGCATCCACCACAAAACCATCAGGGACAAAGCTGCCTCAGTTTAGTCCCCAGAAAGCTACAGAAAAATAAGTGATCACAAGCTAGACCAGGAAGCAATCTGCCAAGAAGCTGCACCCAGCCCAAATTTCTAGAATGATTTTAAGCAAATTAAATGTCTATTATTCTGAGATAATAAATTTTAGGGTGAACACTAAGATATTTTTTTTAAAAAAAATCCAAGGAAAGTGAATAATTAGGAAAAAACTCTAGGGGAGTTTGTTATTTGCAGGACTTTAAAGCTATCCTATGTAGACCTTTTATACTGGAAAAGGTTAATATCAATTCCCTAGGACTTTTATAATTTATTCTACATACGAACATAATGTAAAAGTGATATGTACCTGCATACCAAAACTTCTAGAAATCTAATTTTTACACTAGTAATTTGTTTTTATACTTATTAGATTTAAGATCACAATTATGGGAAGAGTAGTGGGTCGTTGTGAGCACATTGCTTGTGTATTGTTGCCATGCCTGTTTTCACATGGTGAAAGGTTGTGTATGAACGAAATGTTGGCAGTATTTTATGTAGAACAAAAGAAATTCAAAGAAATAGATAGTTACTAAGTAACTGCATCAGCTGTGAGTAGTGCAGATGGTTCAGCTCTCAGCTGCCCCTGATGGGCAGTAGCTGAGTGAGCTAGTCCTGCCTCAAGAGGGTGGAGCAGGGGCCATCCACTTGCTGGGAGGGGCACCACACAGAAATGGATTATGTCACTATGTCACCTCTGGGGAAAACAGCCTTCAAGATGGGCACTGGTTTCCTTCTCATGTACAACAGGCCCAGGGGCAGGCAGTGGACATGAGGGACCCAGGCTCCCCCGAGCCCTGCCACCTGAGAGGGCAGGTGCAGGCCAAGCTATCTTATCCCAGTTCTATGTAAGCGTCAGGAGAAAGGGGAGGAGCAGATGGATGCTCCAGTCCTTCCAGGTAGACTGCAGAACACCTGCAGGGCTCTGTGCCCAGTGCACAGGCCAGAACCTACCCAGGCACCCCTGTCTGACTGACCATGAACAGCACTTGGTGCAAAGAGTTCCGATGAAGCTGGGATCTCCTTCTGAGGGGGGAGCACAGGTCAGGAGTGGGAAAGAGGGAGAGGAGCAGAAGTAGGAGAGCACGGCCACTGAGCCTCCTCCACACCTGGCCTTTCACTTACACACAAGTGTGTTGAGTGCACCCTCCTCCTAAGAGGGAGCACGTGAGCCCCCATCCGTGAACTGGGAAGATTTTTACCAGAATAAAAGTTTCAAGTAAAATAAAAGTGGACGTAATAAACCCCACAATAAATAATAAAATAAAATAATAATAAAAACAGCTGCTGCTTTTATTTTTAAAAAATTTTATTTAATTTATACAGTCATGAAACCAAAGATGTTTAATGAATTAGTTTCAATTTTTCCTTCAACTTTTAAAGGTGAGTATATCATCCCCATTTCAAAATTAAAAAAAAAATGAAGATTTGTAGAAAATGAGTAACTTACTCATGACCCTGAAACCTAGTCACTGGCCACCCAGGCTTGTCCCCTAAACACATGTTAGATTTCAAATATCTGTGAAAAGAAAATAGTGTGAGGGGAACTGGAATCGCTTCATTGTCAGACACACTTGGAGTCCATGCCCTCCTAAGCTGCAGCAGCGATGGAGTCAGGGCAAGCTTCCAAAACACCTTTCCCTAGGAAGAGGATGCTCTATTGTTGTAAAAGACATTTGAAGAAGATAATATGTGTTCTGTTTTTTAACCCAAAACTTCTATTCAAAACACAGATCAGCAGCCTCTGCATACGCTTTTGTTTGGAATAAAAGAAAGGAAGAAAGAAAAAAAAAAAAGGCTTGGATTTCTACCATGCATCTGTTCACCTTGAACACCTTGATGGATTAGGGTGACCAAACTGACCCAGTCAGAGCTCATCTTGGGATTCTACAGCCATCTACTCCCATGAAGGAAGCCAGGTCTGCGATGATAATGCCCAGAGATACAAGTTTCCTCAGCCTTTTTGAAGAAGGAGTAAAATGTGGTCCATGTGTCATAACTGCTTAAACTCATGATTCTCTGGCCTAACTCTAGTCAGCAGGGATCCCTGAAAACCAGAAGAGCCCACTACACTGTGCGTGAATACTTTACCAAGGAGATCCTGTCCACCTGATTGTGTGTCTCTGTGATTCACTGGAAGAAACCCACAAAAATTGCACAAATCCAGCTTTCTCATATAAAACAAGTGACTTGGAGTTAAGAAGAGCTATGAAGTCCTTTTAAGGTCACAGCCACGAAGTGACAGACACTAGACAATTCAGTTTCTGGATGTCTCAGATTAGGACTCAGTTGGCTGAATACAAAGGGGGCAAAGTCCACCTGTGACCACTGACCAGCTATGGGGGTTTCTTCAGAATCTAGAAAGTAGGGCATCCGTCATGTTTTACTAAATCTGCGGCTCCTAGGCTACCATAGGCCTTTGGTAAGTGGAAAAGGACTGTTAGGTAAATTATTTGTTATAGAAATATTGGTTTTTTTCTTCTAAATATTTTGAATATTAGTTTCCTTATCTCTAATATAAGGATAGTGACTCTAACCTACAGATATACAATATTGATTAAATAGATCACATTCCTAATGTATACTGACTAAAGAACAGTGATCCTATAATAAATGTTTATTTCACACTAGTCCACCAAGAATCTGTATAATTTTTTTAAAATTTTTTATTAGTTGCTCAAAACATTACAATGGTCTTGACATATCATAAATTTGATTCAAATGGGGTAAGTAATCTTATTTTTCCACGCATACAGATTGCGGGATCACCTTGGTCATACAGCCACATTTATACATAGAAGAACCTGTATCATTTGATCACTCTGCATCTTCCTATCTGCATGGAATTTTCATTTATAATTTCTGTTTGACATGAAACTGGGGTCAGTTAGATTTTATGCCAACAGGTTTTCTACCTTGGTCTGAGCTGTTAATAGTGATTCCATCAGGTCAAAGAAGGAACATGAATGGCCATGGGCTTTACCTACAGAAGGCAAGGTTACAGTTGTGACTGCTGAGGGTTACTTCCACGCCTAAGTTCATTAAACTCTTTAAAGTCTAAAGGCCAACAGTGATTTATTCCACTGACAGCAAACACAGTAGCAATCTCTTATAAGCAAACCTTCTGTCTTGGCATATGGCGAGACTGATAGTTAATGGCGCTAATTTCACAAGGCAGTGAGCTGCCTACCTGCATCTCCTTGTAAGAGGAAGCTTGATATTAAAGGAAATAAGATGTTTCTAAGGCCCTCCTTCTGGATGAGGGGGACAGAAAGAGAGATTGAGGCAAGAGACTCAATTAAGGGACTTGGAGTTAAGAAGAGCTATGAAGTCCTTTCAAGTTTTTATATGTCAACTGGCCTAAAGAAAGTCCCTCCTGAGATTGCGAGAGAGTTTCAGGAAGAAGGTCACATCTCAATCAGGAAATTGAATCAACTCCCACCAATGGAGGTGAGCATCCTCCAATCCACTGAGGACCAGACGGAACAATAAGGGTTGAGGAGGGTCCATTTGCTCTCACTGTTTGGTCTGGAACATTTGTTTTCCAGTTGTCCAGTCCTTCTAAAGAGGACTGGGATGGTGTCCTCAGCTCCCATCTGGTTCTCAGGCCTTTGGACTCTGGAATTCCGCTTCTCCAGCTTGCAGACAGCAGAATCTGGGACTTCTCAATCTCTGGAACTGCAAGACCCAGTTCCCATTCTCTGTCTCTCTCTTTCTCTCCCCTCCCTCAATACACTTATAGCAACCAAAACACTACAGAGCTTATGCTTTAAATGCATGAACACATTTATCCCAGGCTTCAATCATGGCTTTGCATCAGTTGGTAAAAAAAAAAAAAAAAAACAGAAAAAGAAAAAAGATAGCACTGAGATAATTCATGTGAGCACATCTGGACAGCAGTGTGAGGAGAGAGCAGGTGTACTGAGACGAAGATGTACAGCCAGATGTGGGTACTGACCTCATTCCCCAGTGGGGCAGCCTGGATTGACTTCTGTCACCTTGCTGTGTGTTCTGGCCTGGGGTGATCTTGACCAAAGACATCACTCAAGAATAACCCAGCTTTGAGCAGAGGTATCTTCCTGCTGTGTGAGCAAATAGAGATTATCTGAAGGCCTCCTGTCACAAATATCCAAGTCGTTCTTTTTGAAACATCAATGGAGCAAAATCCATTAATTTTTTATTGTTGTTGTTATCTTGCTGGGAAATAAATTATTCTATTTCTCTTCTATCAAGCGTCCTCATCTTTATCCACAAGATGAAGGTTTTCTTCCCTCTTTCCACCCTGCCTCTCACCTTCATCCTCCACCTCTTCCTCCTCCTCCCAACTCTCTCCTCCTTTACTCTTTTCCCCCTCCTTTTCCTGTTCCTCCTTTTCCTTTTCTGCCTTCTCCATCTTCTCCTCCTCTCCTTTGGTTCACTGACATACCCTCCTTTCCTCTCCTCTCTTCTCCTTCCCCTCCCTTACTCATTCAGTAAGTGGCCTAGTTGTGATAGTGCACACAAGGAATATAAAAATGAGTAAGAAAAGAATTTCCCAATATTTTGGAATTTTATATTTACTGATAAAAACTTAAAACAGGAAACTGGATTAATAGCACAGTATATGAGAACAAAGGTAGAGTGAGATCAGGAATATCAGGGTAAAAGGCAACTAAAATAGGGTGGTCTAGGAGGAATTCTCTCTAGAAGTAACATGGGAGCAGAGACTCAAACAGGAAAGAACAGGCCAGGGAAAGATGAAGGAAATGGCATTTGCAGGCAGAGAGGTGGCAATAATTTCCCTTAAGCAAGAAAGATAAAAACATTGAGTAAGTTGAAAAGTTCAGAGAAAAATAAGCAATGGAGGTAATAATGGAGAATATGTTCATTAAGGAATAGACTGGGAGCCAATCATGAAGAAATTTAGGGTTCTTAGATCAGAGGAAAACACCTCATGGGTGGTACAATAGGAAGGCACTGGAGTGAGGAGGAGGCAGCAGAGAAGTGGCCACCATCTTGCTCAGTGGTATCTCTCCTACTGCTGCTTGGTACAGTACGTACCTGGAGACAAGGGTGGAAACAGGAAGATGGGCTGGGAAAATGCTACAGTATTCCAGCAGAAGATGACCGTAGTGTAGAAAAGCTGATATTAATAAGAAAAGATGAACGGGATATTTCTAGAACTTTCTGTGGACTTGGATGAGGGAGCAAGAGAAAAAGTGACTCATCTTATTTACTGTGGCTCTTTTCACTTCAAGAAATTTCCAAAGCATTGTTAAGAATCCTTAGAGAAAACAGCAGCTGCCTCCAACATGTAACTTTGAGGTCATAATAAGATGGTATCTACATGCATGAGTATATCACGATGAATTTCACTTTTATGTTTATAAAGTACCAATTTTAAAAAAAAACTAAGTCAATAGAAGGAAGATCATTAGATTAGAAGAAGGAGAGCAGGGGCAGAAGGAAGAGAGGGAAAGTGTAAATCCTGGGAATTGAAATGGAGCAAATTTTATTGCATACACACCTGAATCTGTCAAAATGAACCCTGTTACTACATACCAATATAATGTACTTATGAAAATATTACAAGGCATTGGTGCTGTGACTTTGTTTGGCGTCTCTATCTAGAACTTCATTATCTTCTCCAGCAGCCATTGAGGTTTTAACCCCAAAGTTGTTTTGTTACTGACCTTTGCATCAGAAGGAAGGAAAGAGTATAAGAGAGGGTATCATAGGAGGAAATCCAGGAGAAATGATAAAATTGAGTGTCTCATTGTTCTTCTAGTAGGAGAGGGGCTGGGCTGAAAAGGAGCTCACTCTCTGTGGGGAGATGTGTTTAATGCTTTAGTAATCCGTAGCTCTAGATTACAGATTTTAACATGCAGTGGGGACAGTGCAACTGAAAAACCATGGAAACACAGACCACAGGCGCTGAGGAAGCCCAGGAATGTGAAGGGATGTGGGCACTGATGTCCTTTTGGAGGAGGACATGAGGAACATCTGCACTCAGACGGCGGGTCCCCAGAGGGACAACAGGAGGACAGTGTCACAAGGTCTGGCAGGTGCTTACCTCAAGAACTCCATTCGTGAGTTCCCCTACCACTTATGCACAGTAACTCTTTCTTGAATAAATTAATGCATGAATTTGCATCTAGATTTAAACTGAGTCACCAGGCAGGCTTTTAGAAGTAGCACTGACATGTTCCTTTCTTCTCCCCTCTTTTAACCTGGCAGATTCTATTAACAAACCATATTCAGCCCAGTCCATTGTCTCATGTGTTAGATTCTAAGTCTATGGCAACAGAATACCACAGATTGACTCTTTCATTTTGGTGCTATGGATTTAACAATAGGCATTTATTTTCTTAGTTCTAGAAAATGGAAGTCCAAGTTCAAGGTCAAGGTCTCTGCTTACTTGGTTTCTCTTCTGGTCATTACCATTGGCTCACAGATAGCAGCCCTCCTCTTGTCCCATTGTGGCCTTTCTCCTGAGTACCATTTCTCTTCTTCAAAAAACTCTAGGCCTATTGGATTAATTCTGTACTCTTATGACCTCATTAAATCTTAATTGTCCTTTCAAAGGCTCAGTCTCTAAATACAGTCTCATGTGAACTTAGGACTTCAACCTGTGAATTTGGGGAAAACTAAATTCAGTCCATACATCTGTGCTTCACTTGTCTGGGGTTCTTTGCATTGCTTATTGACTAATTCAACCCAATGGTGGGGATTGTTAGTTGAACACCTATTTGTGCAAGGCACTTAGCATGCAGTTTTGCTAGGCCTCACTCAAAGGTAAGATATGATCTCACTATTCATATGAAGAATAAATTTTAATGGATGTTGTAATAGCTATGCCAGCTAGGTTTTCCAGATGCCATGTTCCCCAGACAGATGCCATGTTCACCTTAACACACACACCCTAAAAGGGGCAGCCTTCTATGCCCCTTGGATCTACTGTGAGCACAGACACTAGACTAAAGGCAGAGAGAACACAAGCAAAAGATCACTCAGAACTCTATCCTGGGGTTTAACTGGGACCTTTCTTAGTCCACTTGTGCTGCCAAAGCAGAACACCACAGACTGGGTGATCTTTGGACAACACAAATGCAGTGCTCTTGTGTCTGAGGGCAACAAGTCCAGTTGCCAACAGTTTTCAGGAGAAGGTTCCTTTCTGCTTTCAAGATGGCGCCTTGCTTCTGCTTCTTCCAGAGGGACTAATGGTGTGTCCTTATATAAAGCAAGAGCAAGAAGGCAAAAGTGGCTCCATTCAACCTCCACTCCCTTTTAAATGTATTTTATTTCATTTTGGTGCTAGAATTTAACCCAGGGCCTGGCCCATGCTCAGTATGCACTTTACCACTGAGCTGTACCCCAAGTCCCATTCACAAGGTTCAATCCCATTTAGGAGAGTGGAGACCTCATGACAATTGCCTTCTCTCGGCCACACCTCCTAAAACCATTGCAATGGCATTGAGGAAGTTGAATTTTAGAGGGGACACATATTCAAACTAAATCAGGTCCTCCAGGCTACTGTAGAAAGTTGGAATTGGTTATATGTTCATGCTATGAAGGGGAAAAAATATTCTAAAAATTGTATTGTATATTACTTACTTTATAGGTAATGCAAATGAGTTTCAGAAAAGTAAGGAGAAAGTCTCCACGGTTTTATATACATATAAAATTTTTTGGTGCCTTGGGGCTCAAAAAGTGACTTAAATTTACATTTCTCTAAGATGCTTAATTTGTTTTTCTCGAGTCCTTGCCTCTGCTTTTAACAGGCTGTTTGAGCAAGAGTATTTCGAGGACATTTTAGAAGATTTTGAAAATGCCTCATAGAATCTAATGGAACACAAATATTATTGCCCATTGCTTACTGACCCGAACTGCATAATAAGCTCAAGTATTATTTCCTCACCTCATTACCACTTAATTGAATTAAAGCTAAATTTGTATTTATGCTGTATAATTAGAAATTACAGGTAAGGGACAGGAACATTCTCATTAGTGGCCATCTGTTTGTAAAGTATCAATAGCAAAATTCCTAGGAATCCAATGGCAAATGCACACACACATAGAATACTAGTTCGGAAAGCAGAGCTGCTTGTGGTTTGGGAGAAATGATGACTCTGATTAACAGGTCACAGAGCTGGTTAATAATGGATCTGGTCTGGGATCCCATTTTTTCAGCCACCTTACTTGAAATTTATTTTCCTTTCTACAATTCTTCCCTCCCAAATGCCCACACAGGTCTATGTCCATTGGGTCATTCATAAATGATGGACAGCTAATCATGAAGCCAACTTTGAGAGTAAGCCAACCAAGTATCAAGAGACCAGACTCACTGCCAAGCTTTCTTTCTAGAGAGCAGTATTATAATTGACAATAAATTCCTCTGTTCTGCTCCTAGAAGAAACGAACCCTTTCTTCAGTGAGCACCAGGAACTGTGTATCCCCCACTCTCATTTTCCTCCCTTGACATTTTCCCAGCATTTCTCATGTCACCTGCCATGACATTGCTATTGACACCCATGTGCATTGACTGTCGGCCAAGCAATGCCTATGCAGATGAGAACGCTGGAAACCCAAAGCAGTTGAATGGATCACCCAAGGAAATAGAGCCAGAATCCAACCCAGGGTACAACTATGTGGAGAACTCACTTGTCAACAGGGACAAGTAGTCCAGGCACTGACAACACCATTGAGTGACAGGACAATGGGTATCCCCAGAGGTGAGTGAAGTTTTCAAGTTGTACATTCACTTGTGCCTACATATGCCCTCCATCATTTCATGGAAGTGTTCCAACATCCGCCATATGCAAGACAGTGTTGGGTTTGGGAGATCTTATGACACAATGTTCATGGAGTACTATTGTGCTCGAAAGCCCCTGCCCTGCTTTTCACTAGCTGTGAGACTCTGGGTAAAACACTTCATACATACAATGTAAACCTTCTTATCTGGAAAACAAAGACAGCATTTACTTCTTAGACTCACAGTGATGATTATAATATGCCGAAGATCTATCAAAGCACCAATAGGGTGAATATTTGAATGCAGGCTCACAGGCAGTCCCCGTGATAGGCAAATGCATGAAAGATGGTTGGTATCATTCTGCAAGCGGCACAAAATAAAAGACTTGTTTTTTTATTCTCAAGAAATAGAATGTTGATAAGGGGTAAAGAGGTTTGTTGAGACTTCAACTGAGTACCCATGGGGACATAAAGAGGTGTTTAGAGGGTCTGAATCAAAAGGGCTTCAAGAAGAATAAGGTCCCCAGCAAGACCTTGAAGGATAAGTAGAATGTGACAGGAAGGGAAGCCAGGAATAGCGGGGAAAATGAATGGAATAAATGAAGGCATAGGAGTGACAGAAGGTAACTGACAAGGATTGGATAAATTGGCAAGACTGATGGGGACAGAATATGCATCTCATAAAAGTTGGTGTTGACCCTAAATGGGAAGGTCAGGGACAGAGCAGAGGTTCTCCAAGGTAGCTTATGGAAAATTCGGCCCACCAGGCTTCTGGGAGGGAAACACTATTACATTCTTCATCCCCACCTCCTTTCCTTCTGCCCAGTGATGGCAGCTGGCTAGAGGTAAATTGTGTTTGGGGCTCTGCGTCTCGTTTTTATGATTTATTAGCTCAGTCTTTCAGCAGGCCGAGAATATTGAGTGTGCTGGATGGCACATACTCCGGGAATTTATGTTGCATAGCTAAACATCATGTCTGTCTATCTCTTCCCAGTAATCTCCGATAATACCCAAATGGGCTTTTTATTTTAAACATCTGGACAGCCTTATGGTAGCTGAGAATTAAGGCGCTGAGTGAAGAAAACAGCACAGCCATAAAGTCTGTCGGATAAACAAAGCTTTCTTCGGAACATTAACTCCGTTCCTGAGAAATCTTCTCTGTTCCTCAAAATGCACTTAGTAACTTTACATCTTCATCTCCAGGTACACTTTTCTCTTGCAAATACTCTCATGGCATTTAATGGAGCCATTAAGGTAGGAAACTATGAGATATTAGCATAAAAAGAACATTGCCAGGAAAAGAGATGCCCAAGGCCTTCTCCCCCACGCTCCCCCCCACCTTGGCACTGGCTTTGTTTTACTACAGCAGAGATCCCCATTGTGGGTGGTGGTAATTTTAGCTAGATAATAACTCGGTTGACACTATCATAAATTGGCCTAAGGTATATAACTCAGAGAGGGGAGCAAGACTGGAATGGAGAATAATCAGGTAGTTTTACCTGTTTTTAATACAAAAGAGCCGTCCCATAGAGGCCGATGGGTTTCATCTTTATTCTCAGAGATCTCCAGGGTCCCCTCCTGCCCTCAGACGGTGGACCAGTGTGCACAGTCTTGGACACTCTGAGACTCTGCAAACGCCGTGCCATCTGCTGTAACCCCTCCCTGCCCTGCAGTTTTTGGCAAGCACAGCGTCCTGGCCCTCCGAGTTTCACTCCTATCTACTGCAGCACAATCCTCCTGAGCCCCACAGAGCAGCACTGGCCGCTGCCCTCTCTGCGCTGCTCTTACACAACCACACTTCTTACACTGGTGTAGAGGTGAGGTGTCCTCCAAAAGCTCATGTGTGAGACGTAAAATGATTTGATTATGAAAGATACGACCTAATCAGTGGATTAATCCAATGATGGATTAGCAGGGTGGTAACAGTAGGCAGGCAGGCAGTGGCTGGAGGACTTAGGACACTGGAGATGTGCCTTTGGGGTTTCTATTTTGTCCCTGGTGATGGAGAAGCTCTGTCTCTATGTCCTGGTTGCCATGTCCTGAGCTGCTTTCCTCCACCACATGCCCCTCCATGATGCTCTGCATCATCTTGGGCCCAGAGCTATGGGGTTGGCAGACTATGCACTGAAACTCTGAAACCATGAGCCAAAATGAACTTTTCCTCCTCAAAATTGCTCTTGTCAGGGATATTGGTCACTGAGGTGCAGAAACTGACTGAAACAACATATTATCTCAAAGTTTCTAAGGTTTGGGAATTCAGAACCATGGGGCTCCTCAAGTCCTCTGCCCTGGTCCCTCTAGGCTCTGATCCAGGGACCACCCTGGGCTGAGTTTGCTTCAGAGACTCACCAGAGCAAGGATCTGTATTCAGCCTTCCTCAGGTTGTTGGTAGAATTCATCTTGTAGCTGCAGGACTCAGGTTGGCTTTCTTCAAATAACAAGATGGAGACTCCAGAGAGAATCTGCAAAAATGATAGAGTTTTATATAACAAAGGGGACTCACAGGAGAACCTCTCCCAGAAACCTTTGCCCATTCTATTAATTAGAAGCATATCCTAAGTCTTGTTTCTCTGGAGGCAATTATACAAAGCCCTGAATACTATGAAATGGGATCATGGAGGCCCCCAATGCTCTCCGTCACAGTTTGTTTAGAAAGTTTCAAGCTCAAACAAACTGGTTTGTTTTAATATTTTTACTACTGATCATGATATTGTTAAACCCAATGTTGTTGCATAACTTACCTTTTAGGTATTAGAAATCTTTTGCTCAATATTTGTCTTAATCCTTGGGTCCTGTGAGGGCAGAGGTCATGTGAATCTGCTTAACCATACACCCAGAGTGCTTACCAAGGGCTTAACATACGGAAGATTCCAAATATTATATGTAAATGAACAAATGAGTCATTAGTGGAGAGTGTTGCGGTGTGCTCGGTCCTTGGTAGGAGTCACACCAGTGGGAAATCTGCCCTTTTTCCTAAAACAGTTTCCTTCCATGCTTTGTAAGCATTGGTTTGAGAAACAACAAAGCCCAAGTTATCAGCCCCGTGCCAGCTCTTACCTCCTGACTAAAACAACATATTATTCCAGAGTTTCTGTGGGTGGGTTCAGGATACAATTCCTTCCTTCCTTCCTTCCTTTCTTCCTTCCTTCCTTCCTTCCTTCCTTCCTTCC